AAATAACAATGTGCGTTTACTTTAATTCACGATTAAACTCGACACTGTGGTGGGGCTAAATATTTTCTATCTAAAGCCTTACAATAACTATAGTCACAAAATCTTAAGTTGAAAAATGAAAAGATTTATTTATTGTTGCGTTTTATCATACATAATAAGATCAGCGTCAAGAATACGTGTTTCAATTCGCGAATATCAAGATTCAGAATGACCTGTTGGGGTGTCGGACACTTGGAGGGACGTTTTGGGGGTATTCCCCTTCCCATTAGTCAATGCCGCATTCGTATCAACTTCGGCACTAGAATGCTACTAGTTACCCTCGTATATTGAACGGGGTCGCCATATTGAAAAATACATTAGCTCGGTTGTTTCCATTCAAATGAAGCAATGTCTATTTATTCAGTATCAGAACTACAATAACAACGTATTTCATCAGGTTATTGAATCAAACAACCAATTGTTATTCATGTAATATTGTGATTGAGTAGAATATTTATAGCTTCGAGTTGAATTTCGAGTTTGAAGTTGGAGTAATATTTTGTTCATATTGTTGACAGAGTACCTAGCTAAAACTGTACTACTTACAACATTTTTGGGTCAGACATTCCAGATATTTAATGCTTATTTTTTGTTCAATTTGCCACAAAACATTATTGTTTATTCTTGAAAGAACCAGCAGAACTTCTGCAGTTTCAGAAAATACTGATTCGAAAATTTCGTCTCTAACATTTGAACTGAATTTTGATCAAACTAAAAAATTTATTCGAAACTTGGTAAATGGGTAGAGACCAAATTATCAATTATGATTATACAAAAATATTTTTCAAAAAATTTCGGAAAATGCAGACTACATTTTTAATCCGATTGTTCTCAAACTTGTTCAAAAATTTAAGCAAGGAAATTACCTAAGTCCTCTAGAAGCCCTTTTTTGAATTTTGTCTTGCACTATATAGTGTCAAAGGTTTTTTCTACTCGGGTCACATTTCAAATAGTGATAACTTTTGACCATGAGCTTCCATAACCCCCATCTTTCGACTTCGGCATCTCTTTTAACTTTTTTTTTTATTTTGGTACATTACATTTGATTTATACGACTCTGAAAATGGATAATTTGCATATTTTCTGTATCTTCGGAGGACTATATAACACGAACTTGGACTTTTTCACCATTTAATTTTCTATTATTGTAATGTACTTGTCATACAATGTCTAACAATGTCTTTATTTTGGTTGTCAACCTAAAACTTTTCGAAATATAATATGCATTATCAAACTTTGACAAACAATTTGTAAAGAAATATTATTAATTAAGAGAGTTTATATGAGTTGAAATGATTATGTAACATGTCAGAACAGCAATTCATAGAGGTCTTTGTATGGCATTTAGCAATTGTGAGTACGATATATAGACACAGCTTAAAGGAACAACAATCACTGGTTAAAGTTTTATGCAACGTTTCGACGTGTTTTAAACTTAAGACTTAAGTGTTTAACGATGTCAAAACAGAATTTATGCGCTTCTCCACTCGTCCCATGTCAGTGTGTATGTTGGTGATTCTGAGATCCCCGTCCATTTTGAGGCCAGGAGTCTGGGAGTATTTTTGGACAGTGCTCTTTCTATGAAGGTCAACATATCTGCTGTGTGTCGTTCGGTGAGATTTCACCTTCGTATAATTTTTTTTTATTCGTCAATACCTCACAATATTTACTACTGGACAGCTAGTTCACTCTCGTTTAGATTATTGTAACTCAGTGTATTCCGGTATCAGTTCAAATCAATTAAATCGTCTACAGCTATTACAAAATACTGCCGCACGCATTGTCACAAGAACCAAAGTCTCTAAACATATCACTCTTGTGCGTTATGGTCTCCATTGGGTGCCGATAAAGTAACGGATTGAATACAAAATTTTGCTGATGACATTTAAATCACTACACGATCTAGCACCGTCATATTTGTCTTCCCTCATTGAGTGGCATGTGCCAGGCAAATCCCTACGCTCTATGGAACGATTTGAGTGCAAAAGGAAGGGTGGTCGTGGTTTTGGTGTCAGGACCGGCCATAGGTCCTTCGGAATAAGAAACCCAGCTTTAAGGAATTCACTACCAATAGTTGTCAGAAAATTCTATAAACTAGATTCTTTTAAACAGAATCTCAAATCCAATATTTTTAGACAAGCTTTTAACTGATATTTTTGTGGTATAGTATAATAATATATAGTAATATATAATATTTTATGTTTTATATAATATTTGTATTTTCAAATTTTTGTATCAGGCGCAATTGATCACTTGTTTTACTTTTGTTTTAACGTGGATATTTGCGCTATATAAATAAAGTATTATTATTATTATTATTATTAGTGATTGTTGTTCCAGAAAGCTGTGTCTATATAAATTTATAGAGGGTTAATGTGAAAATATTGTTGCCGACTCTTGTGTAAGTTCTAATTAATAATTCAAACAGAATTAAAATGTGCAAATTCACAGCTTTAAAACCATAACAATGTATAAATAAAAATTTTAAAAATTTAGAATAAAATTGGCGAGGTAAGAAGTACGGTGGCTCAAATAGGACAGTTTTCAAGTTTTATTTTGAAGTAAAAACTTTAATTTTCAGCTAGGTGATAATTCAAGAATTTTGAATCAAAAACTTTTTATCGCCGTTCTTTACAAGATTCGTTGAATTGTCACCTTGGTGGAATTTATTTAATAAATTTTAATTCAAAATTCTAGAATTTTCACGCGGGTGAAAATACAAGTTTTTAATTCAAAATTATGTTTTATAATTATACTCCAGTTTTTTCATTTATAAAAAGGATGTGGTATAGGAAGCCCCGTAAAGAAGACTGTGTAACAGGTCAAATGGGGTTAATTTCACACCTTTTTAGGTCAGAGTGGATAACCCAAACTTCACTGTTTGAAATGGTCTATTAAAGATATTGTAATCATATTTATCTTCCTTTCATGGTTGAGTCAATGTTCAATTCACGGTAACTAACGAACATTGGCGAAGGTTGAGCTGAATGCCTAAATGACAGTGAACCGATGTATTTCCCGATTGACTAATCTCTTAAATAAGATTAATTTTTTTACCCTCGCTTTCTCGCCGTTTTCCTGGCTTTCTCGCGGGCGAGAAGTCGAGTTTCCTAATAATCCCTTGAACAGGATATATATTCGGTTTACCATATCAAATCAGAGAGATATATACAGCATGAACACCTTTCTCCTGAATGTCCACCCAAATGACCAACAAATTTTTACAACATTTCTACTTACGGTTTAGTTTGTGTTAGTTTCTGATATGTTGCCTCGATTTTCGCAGGGTTTATAAAGCAGATGGTGGAAAATAATTACCTCGTAAAACTGTTCATTGCTAGAGGTTGCCAGCCCATTTGAAATGTTTTCCTTTGCAGGCTGAATAGCAAGTCGATATAATATAAATAATACAGCCAACATACACGAGGTTTTTTTTTAAAAAATGAAATGAATTGAGTTGGGCAAAGAGACAGGTTTTATCTCAAAAGGCGCTTATTTTAAGGACAATAATCGCAATATTATGATGTAAAGAGTCTCGACCAAGAAGATACAACGAAATTCGTCATTCATTACCGAGTCAGATTCAGCAGATCGATATGTGGAGAAGGCCTAAGCCAAGCAATTTGTCCATGAGGTTTGGTTATTCTCGATCAGATACAGTTATGCTTTCAACTATCAAAGGTACAGGTAGAATAGCATTTCTGTTGTTAGACTTAAAATACAGATTATGTTCTATCATTTCATTCTCAAACTCTAGCGTTTAATAAAAGACGAGATTGTGAGATATAGGTGCTGTAACATCATTAAGTAGTTCTCCAAGGACCAATAATTCGTAGGAAGGGGATTCGTGGATTGAAATAAGTTGGATTTCTGAATTCTGATCCAATCTCCACAAAATGCCACAAAAGTGTCATAGTGAGGTTCAAATGGCGACAGGCGTAGTTTATTAAGTTGGCTGCGATTCAAATGAAAATAGATTGGCGTCATAGAAAGTACTTGTCTAATGACAAGCCTTAAAGAAACCATGTTACACAATTTATAAACGGTTTATACATCGTCGTCATAGTCCAAGAAGGTCATAAGTGGTTGATATGACCAAAAACCCTTTTTTGTCTATTTCGATGCAGAAAGTCATTGCGCATGTTCATACCAAATTTCATCCCATTCACTTAATGAATTTTTGAAATTTTCACAATACAAAAAGGCCAATATGTAGAATTCTATGACGTGTATGTGAACATAAGGTAGTATGTGACAGGTAGAACCCTCTTCATCTTAAATTTTTATGTTTATAGGCATAAGTGGTAGTTATGACCTTCTGGGTGTGAACCGCCCGCCATGATGCTGGTACCATTAAAGAATTTTCAAGGACAAGCAGGTAATCAGTTTTTATTATAAATTCTTGTATTAAACAAATTAAATCATAGTTTTTAACATAGAACAAAATGCTATCGAATTGTACTTAATGACTTTTTATAATATCATTAATAAATTACTATTACTTTTAAGACCTTACTTGTTGAGCAGTTATGACCTTCTAATTGAAATGTATGTAAAAGTGCCTTGAAGCTGACGAATTTATTATATTATATAAAGAACACAAAAATCTCATTAAATACGTCCATGTTTACTGTATGTATTATGATCAAATTAGTTCCCCTTTCAATTTGATGCAAGACATCCTTATCTTTTGCCTTAAAAATATAAAATTTCATTGATACACTTTAATCTATATTTTGTCTCCCTCTTCAGTCAGAAATGTCATTAGGTTTTATGATTTGTCTTATTGATTGACATTGCATAGTTGATTTCAAGTTATTTTATTTCTTCCCAGATTAATTGACATTATGGATGATGACTGATCCAGTTGCGAATAAGACATTATGGATGATGACTGATCCAGTTGCGATGAAGACATTATGGATGATGACTGATCAAGTTGCGATGAAGACATTATGGATGATGACTGATCAAGTTTCGATGAAGACATTATGGATGATGACTGATCCAGTTGCGAATAAGACATTATGGATGATGACTGATCCAGTTGCGATGAAGACATTATGGATGATGACTGATCAAGTTGCGATGAAGACATTATGGATGATGACTGATCCAGTTTCGATGAAGACATTATGGATGATGACTGATCAAGTTGCGAATAAGACATTATGGATGATGACTGATCAAGTTGCGATGAAGACATTATGGATGATGACTGATCCAGTTGCGATGAAGACATTATGGATGATGACTGATTCAGTTGCGATGAAGACATTATGGATGATGACTGATCCAGTTGCGATGAAGACATTATGGATGATGACTGATCCAGTTGCGATGAAGACATTATGGATGATGACTGATCCAGTTGCGATGAAGACATTATGGATGATGACTGATCCAGTTGCGATGAAGACATTATGGATGATGACTGATCCAGTTGCGATGAAGACATTATGGATGATGACTGATCCAGTTGCGATGAAGACATTATGGATGATGACTGATTCAGTTGCGATGAAGACATTATGGATGATGACTGATCCAGTTGCGATGAAGACATTATGGATGATGACTGATCCAGTTGCGATGAAGAAATTATGGATGATGACTGATCCAGTTGCGATGAAGACATTATGGATGATGACTGATCCAGTTGCGATGAAGACATTATGGATGATGACTGATCCAGTTGCGATGAAGACATGATGGATGATGACTGATCCAGTTGCGATGAAGACATTATGGATGATGACTGATCCAGTTGCGATGAAGACATTATGATGGAAATGGTCGAGATAGATAATACCTTTGATGAAGCCGTTGTGGATGAAAATAAAACCTGCAAGAAAGAAACAGAAAAAAGAGAAGATGCTTTTGAGACACTAATTAATACTGCAAAGAAAGAACTTGATTATAGTCATTTTGGCCCATTTGATAAAATATAATCCCGAAAGTGTTTAAAAATCGACCAGCATAAAATTACTGACTGAGTTTAAGTTGATGAGGTTGGTAAACGTTTATTGAAATCTCATAATATCGACTTTTTTACATCTGATATCGCGAAATGTCATCAAAATAATATCCCAACGGTATACCGGTATAGGAAATATACCATATCGAATCGTCCGGTTTCTCTTAATGACATAGTCATATCGCTTTTGTACTATGTTAGCATTGCTAGTGGAGAATCCCGGAGCAAAAATATTTAAATCTGCAATTTAATTAGATATTGCAGGTGGGTTTCTAAACATTTCATAGCATATGTCATTTTACTTTATGGGCAGACATAAATTATGGTGAATAGAAAACTAAAAATATTATCAATAAAAGTTACTCAATATGTGCATATAAAATAGATATTAAGAAATTCTTGTTATATTCCCTGAAGTAAAATTTCGTACATCATTAGAACTGATAGTTTGAGCTCATATAATATCAATAATAACTTGGTTTTACACAGGTGACGTTGCAACGTAGTTGTTTGCCAACATTTATAATATAACTGGAACTGTAATGGTGGCTGTAAGCTATTTTCTTGATGTGCATCTCCTTGTAGAAGGCAAGCTAGATTATTCTTACAAACTGTATAATCGTTTTTAAGAAACTGGATATGGAAATCTTTCTTCAATTGATACTAATACTCACAATATTAACAAACACTTTATTTACAAATCACTAACTTAAGTATAAACTGAATCGGGAGATTCTACCTACTTCCAATTAACCTATGATGTTACCTCTCTCCTGAGCAAGCAGTGAATGACCTATCCCCAAATTCTCCCGACCTATATGCTGTTCATCTATTGTCTATGAAATCTATCTTTTTGCAAAAGCCTATTGTTCACCCCGTAGACATATAAGTGAATTCACCCTATTGTAAATCTTAAACCCCATTGTCTATAACTCCCAATTTAATCTACCCTTATAAACCCTTGACTATTTCTTTGTGCAAGTCCCTATTGTAATACCATGACATGTGAATGACAGCTTAGTATGTACGCTCTTGTCTCTGAAATCCTAATACTTATTACTTGTGAAAACTACTTAAGGTATTAGGCAATTCTTTGTTAGTTTCGATGTAAGATTATACTAAACAATACTACATAAGTTTCCCCCTTAACATAGAAAATACATCATAATGATTTTCTTGTATAAAAACCAACATTCAAAATCAACATTTAAAGAAGAATCAAAAGATACAAAAAAATAAATGAGTATGTGAAAAACAAAAATAACGAAAATATAGCATACACATGCAAACGTATCAACAGAAAGAAATGTTCAGAAAATGTCACTTTATTGTCCTACGGCTGAAACAAAATAAACAAATTAACACACATGATGATTTCGCGATCATCACCTATTTCCAAAACAAGAATATGCACACATGACTTTAAACTTATTCACACGAAAAAAATATATATATACGCAGTATGAGTTCCGATTTCCGATTTCCGAATATACACAATGGTCGTCGTTATGTGGGTTCTTGGAAGGGAATCTTCTGCTGTTCTGATCTGAAATTAGAAAAAATATCATCTCGCCCAGTGGGCGAAGAGTATAGTACCTGTTGTGTACGGGTTGGTTTTAGTTTGCTATGAACACGATTGACATAAAAGTTTTGATTATTTTGAGTAAGCAACTGTCATTATCTGCTAAGAGACCAGGGAGAATTTCTCTTGGACAACGTATATACTAAGAAAACTATTTTCACAAAAGGATACGACAAACTACACTGACTAAGGAATGAATCTAAAATCTACACTACTATCTATACATGTCTACTCAATGATTGTACTAAACAATGAAGTCAACTTAAATGAGCTAAACAAACTAACCGGCAGTAATTAACACAACGTTAAATGATCCTTTTTAACTTTCTTAATCACATCAAACCCTACGATAAGGCTGTTGTAAAGGGAATCAAACGGAACTTCCGGATTGATATAGTTGAACACATAGAACAACTGGTCGTAAATAATTAGACTGCCGTAATCTGTTGCTCTACCCTGTAGAAGTTACAACATTTCTCTACCATGTAGAGTTCATTCTATTTCTCTACCATGTAGAGTTTACAACATTATTAAATATAAAAAGACGCTTCGGAATCGGAGCTATCATAATCAGTGGGAGGATCGTAAAAATAGATATAATAAGATGATTAAGGGTATATCGCCTTCAGAATCGAAATCTGCATCTAAATCAACTGAATCCGCCAATGACACAGTCGGATTAACAACCTTAGCGTTAAATTTAGGACGAGGTAAAGTCCGAGTAGCACGGATAGGTTGTTGCCTATGACCTTGATGTTCAACATTCTGCTGTACTTTGTTGAGGATGTGTTTTGGGTCTTCACGCTCTTCGTCCCAACAAATATTTGGTTTAGCTAAACTTAAATGTTCCACATGAACCTTTTTTGTATATCCGGTTAATTGATGTTTTATTCGAAAGTTGACCGGAGAGAATTGTTCGATTATAGTACGGTTTCAAATGAGTGGTTAATTTACCAGAATGGTCTAATTTAGTTGTAGAATCATAATAATAAACTAAATCACCTAATTCGAACTTTTTTTCATATATAGATCAACTGCTTTCGATCTTCTTGTTTCGGGTCCTGACTTTCTAATTGCATGAAGAAATGTTGAGTATGCTACTAAATCCTTGCGATTGGCAATGTGAATATACCCACCAATCATTAAATCTATTAATCCTTTTGTTAATGTAAATATTAAGTCTTTTGTATCGCTTTTGAATATAGGGGAATTTGACTTAAATTTAATTTTAAATCCATTACACAAAAACTCCTCATCATCAATGATTGGTGAAATACTCTTAGGTAAAACTGGTTTAGGGTTTGAAAAAAGAGGATTTATATTATGTCCTAATTATAATACCACCATATTCAATCGGTATGGAGTGACCTTTATGTGGTTTTATACGAGGCGAGGGTCTATATTCTAAAGCTAATTTCTTTTTAATATCCTCTTGAGTTTTTAATATTAGTTGAAATAGAGTTTGTAGATTTTCTGTTGATCCAAGTTGTTGTAATTTTGTTATTTTCAACTTGGGTCTTTATTGTATTCTTAGCTTTGATATATTCTCTATTTCTTTTTAACATATTATTCCATTCGCTACTCATTTTTAAAAAAAATAAAATTAACATATGTCGTTCATAACTCTTTCATCCGCAGGTTTTCTAGTATTTACAAATATATATCCATGATCATCTAGGTTTCTCCATTGTGCTTTACAAACCTTTTTAAATGTATCTCTATCCATTCCGTGATTTATCGATTGAACGATTTGAGATAAATCTTTGTCGTTTAATTCAAATAATAAAAAACAATTTGCATTTTTTCTAATAAACATAGAATCCATCCCGTAAAAAGTTGTGATGTCTTCCTTTCGTGAAGAATTCTTGATGAACAGCTTGATTTCTTTGTGCTACACAGTCGTCAAACAATATTAAGTTCTTTCTACTGCTATCAATTTTAGATAAATCTAAATCATTAACATTTTTCGTAAGAAAAACTTTTATGTCCGTTGGATAGAAAGATGGATTCTTTGCTTTAATGTAGTTATCTATGATATCCTTTATTTCCACTTCTTTTTCACGTTTTCGTCATATATTGAAATAGGTCCTGAACATCTTTCTTTGGTAGATATTCTAAAGCTTTGAGAAATTGATAATACGATTGTTCTGGTGTTGTTGTGTAGATATACAGTGAATCAAAGTCTTGGTGTTGTCAACATGTTAAAAGGGAGATGAGTTTTCCCAGAACCGGAGCTTCCACAAATACGCATAAGCATTGGGTTACTAGGAAATATTTCTGAATGTTTGAATTTCTTTACCATTTTTTATTCTATATTTTTGTTCCAAAAGTATCTGAGTATCTATTAAAAAAGGTTTAAGTTAAGTTCCTTAGATATCCTCGATTGTAACAGCTTCCACTTGGCAACGTCTGCAACAGTTACGCAGGGGCATCTAGGAAACGCATAGGTCTAAGGAGGGTCAAAAAGGAGGTAAGGCTAGGGGCTGCCAGAAGTCAGTGGGTTTCATATAGCCGGAGATGAATTTTGAGCATTTAGAGGGCTTAATTTTCATAATGAATTTACGTTTCTTGTTTATTCTTATAATCAAATCTTTACACAGCCTATATAAGGCTTATGAATATTTATTCTGTAATAAATAGCCCGCTCTATGACTGCAGGAATTGAACGTTGGTTAATACGTCTACAACCATACAACATAAGAGTTGAATATCAAGACACCCTCAACTCATCTTTGATAGAGATATAAAAGAATATTTTGATTATATTGCTAGTAATAGATTCGTTCATCTTTAGTGGAAAGGGGCAAATGGAAGAGAGATCTTACTCAATTTCTACTCAACTATAGAGCAACACCACACTCAACAACTGGAGTATGCCCAGCTCAACTTTTATTTAATCGTCAAATCAAAACCAAGATCCCAGAATACTCATTAGAAAGACTAAATGAAAACGACAACCAGAAATTGGCTAGAATTAACGATAAAGCTGTCAAAGATAATATGAGGACCTATGCAGATCACAAATTTTATGCAATTCAGATTCAGCGTAATCATAGATCCTTTGACATTCAATACGACAGCTGGTTCTGTACTAAATGAAATCAATTTATCGAGATGAAAATGATGAAATTCCTGTTATATTCCCTGAAGTTAAATTTCGTACATTATTGGAACTGATGTTTTGAGCTCATATAATATCCAATAAAATAGGTCACAATTTCTGGAAGGGAAGTTGTTTATTCCAAATGTATTCCTAGGCTTGATAATCTTTAAAGGAGATTTAGAAGAAGAAATAACATAGTAAATAAATAAGAACACGATTATGAATATACTACTCCTTTCTTTAATTTCTGAAACGTTTCAATTCACATACAGCAATCTTTATCAAGCACAAAACAATAGTGATAGATTTCTATTTTGTGATACAATCTCTTTGGAAGCGGCATTTTGAATATCATAAAGACCCTTTGTTAATCCCGTATTCTCGTAGTCTCTGACTCCCAACTATACCTGTCTCTGACGCCCAGACTATACCTGTCTCTGATGCCCAGACTGTACCTGTCTCTGACGCCAAGACTATACCTGTCTCTGACGCCCAAACTATACCTGTCTCTGACGCCCAAACTATACCTGTCTCTGACACCCAGATTATACCTGTCTCTGACACCCAGACTGTACCTGTCTCTGATGCCCAGACTATACCTGTCTCTGACACCCAGACTATACCTGTCTCTGACGCCTAGACTATACCTGTCTCTGACGCCTGGACCATACCTGTCGCTGACGCCCAGACTATACCTGTCTCTGACGCCTAGACATAACCTGTCTCTGACACCCAGACTGTACCTGTCTCTGACGCCCAGACTATACCTGTCTCTGACGTCTAGACTATACCTGTCTCTGACGCCTAGACCATACCTGTCTCTGACGCCCGGACTATACCTGGCTCTGACGCCTAGACATTACCTGTCTCTGACACCTAGACTGTACATGTCTCTGACGCCTAGACTATACCTGTCTCTAACGCCTAAGCATTACCTGTCTCTGATGCCCAGACTGTACCTGTCCCTGACACTCAGACTATACCTGTCTCTGACGCTCAGACTGTACCTGTCTCTGATGCCTAGACTGTACCTGTCTCTGACGCTCAGGCTATATCTGTCTCTGATGCCCAGACTGTATCTGTCTCTGATGCCCAGACTGTACCTGTCTCTGATGCCCAGACTGTACCTGTCTCTGATGCCCAGACTGTACCTGTCTCTGACGCTCAGACTATACCTGTCTCTGATGCCCAGACTATACCTGTCTCTGACACCCAGACTATAACTGTCTCTGACGTCCAGACTATACCTGTCTCTGACACCTAGACTATACCTGTCTCTGATGCCCAGACTATACCTGTCTGTGACACCCAGACTATACCTGTCTCTGACGCTCAGACTATACCTGTCTCTGACGCCCAGACACAGGGACTTATACTGCGTTCGATACTTGGTGTTTATGACTTTCTCGCCATCCGATACTCGTCCGCGAAAGTGAGACCTAACGGGCATTATTCACGACTTTATAAGGAAGATTGGGGCTGAGTTTGAGATGTTAACTGCGTGAAAATATTTTATATCCCAATTCCAAGCTCTTTATCAAATTTTTGTTGAACAGTTTTGAACATTGTCGACAAAGAAAGTGAGTATCTATAAAATCATATTTGCTATCCTGCGGGTCCAGGTAAACATCGTAGAAGTTTTGAAAATCGGTTTCGACGAATGTTTTCTCCGTGTTCACGACTTTCGTACTGTCTAACACGGGAGAAACTTTATATTGAAAGGGCATTCATAACGTTGAGCATGTAAACACTGTTATCACGAGAAGTATCAAACAATGTATAATACCATGCCATACGAGTGGAAATAGCGACCTCCATTGAATCGCCGGGAATAACTGATTTGATCCAATCCCCTTCTGGATAAGCGATCGATATGAAAATAGACAGAAAGGCATTTACGTCACAATTAAAGGGATTATATTGAGGTTTGCTGAATGTCAGCATCAATTTGCATCATTCCAATTTTAGATCTGTCGTCTGTAATTCCTGTAAATCCTGTAATGCCACTAAAACAAAGTGTTTGATGGCGTCAGAAATCGCAAAATAAGAACGTTTTATCAAGTAAGGGCCTGTGCGATTAGTGACACAGACACTTATATGGGATTGTGAAAGCAACAGTAAGATGTAACGCCGTATACCCTTGCTAAAAGAACATGCCCTTACATAAAAACTCATAAAAAACAACACTACTTTATTACCAAATATTTTAATTTCTACAGAAACTTTTTGGAATAATTTTAAAAGTTCAAACTTCGACAATATAACAAATGCCGCCATGTTAGTCTATTCATTCGTACAAAATATGTGGTTCTTGACACAAAACAGGTACAATAGTTAAAATATTCAGGTGTTACTGATTGTTTCATTGGTAGAATATAATAATAACAATCAGTAACAATTCACAATAAAAAAAACACCCATTCGAGCAGTTTCCATTATATAGGTCACAATTAAGAACACACGTGCATACTCCTTATTTACTACTAGTGTATTTGGTGACGGCTTTCGTTCCCTCGCTGACCGCATGTTTCGCCAACTCTCCAGGTAACAATAATCTCACCGCAGTCTGTATTTCACGACTTGTAATGGTAGAACGTTTGTTGTAGTGCGCCAGTCTAGAAGCCTCAGCCGCAATCCTCTCAAAAATATCATTGACAAAGCTGTTCATTATTGACATGGCTTTACTACTGACTCCCGTGTCTGGGTGAACTTGTTTTAAAACTTTATAGATATAAATACTGTACGATTCTTTTCGCTTTCTTTTCTTCTTATTATCCCCAGACCTCGGCGTTTTGATTTTCCCTGCTTTCTTGGCTCCTTTAGATGCTGGTTTTGGAGGCATGTTGTCTATTAGTTTATTGAACTGAATGTGTCGGTGACTACTTGTAAAGTGTTATATCAATATGCACGTGTTTTTTATCCTTGCAAGTGATTATGGGTAATATAAATGACGTCATGGTCTGGTTGACTTTATAACCGGGCAATATTTTATATGGAAGGTGGAATGGCTTTTTTTTCAATGTTCTTGGTTGCTAATAAACAATGGGTTTTATTCTATTTTACATTTTTCGTTTTAAGGACGATGACGTCTGCTTTAATCAATCAAATTTCTACCCTCTCAAAGGGTTAGAGGACTGTCTATAGACGGCTAGATTTTTAAAAAAAAAGTTAATTAAAAATGGAACAAAAGTTTGGTCTCATTTTAATAAAGAATGATATTTTATCTATTGTCGATGAAAACATGCCCGTTCCTACAGGTATTGACGTTGTAACTCATCATTAAGACGTAATGGTTTTTAGAAATAGTATGGTTTAAACAATATTTACTTACAATGATTTCAATATATAGATACATACATATAGACATGTTCACAGTATCACTAATATGGGTTTTGATATGGTCTTACCCCGAGGAAGCATGACGAATTGGGGTGTGGTTTGGAAACGATGAGACATGTTATGGTTTCAGAAACAAGCCGAGGGTTATATAAATCCGTTAGCATCAGTTTAACTTAATATTTCAATGTGTGAATACAAGTAATATTAAATAATCTAAACGTAGTCTGTAATAAAACTAAGGAATAGTATACTATATAAACTGATGATGACGTTGTAGATTGTTGAAACGGAGTGTGTAATAAAACTAAGGAGTAGTATACTATATAAACTGATGATGACAATGTAGATTGTTGAAACGTAGAGTGTAATAAAACTAAGGCGTAGTATACCATATAAACTGATGATGACAAGGTAGATTGTTGGGAGCCGCGATGGCTCAGTGAGTTAACGCTTGCTCGCTAACCTGAGGGTCCAGGGTTCAATCCCGGCATAGGTCGAGATAATACCTTCGGATTTTTCAACCCGGTTTCCCCCCTGTCAGTGATGCAGATAAGAGGGGCTGACATGGAAAAAGCGTCTAGTCGTTCGAATGGGACAATAAACCGAGGCCCCGTGTGCTGCAGGCTGTGCACGTTAAAGATCCCTCGACAGTTGGAAATCGAAAAAGAGCAGGCTAATGCCGCTGTCCTAGCAAAATTTCCCTCATTGCACCCTGCATGGCGTTGCCCGTCTTCATTAGCCCACATGGTGCAGAAAAATAGGACGTAAAACTCCATTCATTTCATTCCATTTACAATGTAGATTGTTGAAACGGGGTGTGTAATAAAACTAAGGCGTAGTATACCATATAAACTGATGATGACAATGTAGATTGTTGAAACGTAGTGTGTAATAAAACTAAGGAGTAGTATACTATATAACTGAAGATGACAATGTAGATTGTTGAAACGTAGTGTGTAATAAAACTAAGGAGTGGTATACTATATAAACTGATGATGACAATGTAGATTGTTGAAACGTAGTGTGTAATAAAACTAAGGAGTAGTATACTATATAAACTGAAGATGACAATGTAGATTGTTGAAACGTAGTGTGTAATAAAACTAAGGAGTGGTATACTATATAAACTGAAGATGACAATGTAGATTGTTGAAACGTAGTGTGTAATAAAACTAAGGAGTGGTATACTATATAAACTGATGATGACAATGTAGATTGTTGAAACGTAGTGTGTAATAAAACTAAGGAGTAGTATACTATATAAACTGATGGTGACAATGTAAATTGTTGAAACGTAGTGTGTAATAAAACTAAGGAGTAGTATACTATATAAACTGATGATGACAATGTAGATTGTTGAAACCTAGTGTGTAATAAAACTAAGGAGTAGTATACTATATAAACTGATGATGACAATGTAGATTGTTGAAACATAGTGTGTAATAAAACTAAGCAGTAGTATACTATATAAACTGATGATGACAATGTAGATTGTTGAAACGGAGTGTGTAATAAAACTAAGGAGTAGTATACCATATAAACTGATGGTGATAATGTAGATTGTTGAAACGTAGTGTGTAATAAAACTAAGGAGTAGTATACCATATAAACTGATGATGACAATGTAAATTGTTGAAACGTAGTGTGTAATAAAACTAAGGAGTAGTATACTATATAAACTAATGATGACAATGTAGATTGTTGAAACGTAGTGTGTAATAAAACTAAGGAGTAGTATACTATATAAACTGTGTTCTGTTATTTAAAGTAATAAGTATTTGCTATTACATGATATCAATGTAGAGAATAAAAGTGCAGGAGAAAGAAAGTGGCTTTGGCCTGGGTTCGAGGAAAAGGGACATAACAGTGATCATTTTGTATGGTGAAATCAATGCCACGATGGTGCTTGTAGAAAGAATCATCAGAAACCCATGTTGATATTCCAGTTGCGGCGCACGTGTGGGTACAGGGGTAGAAAAACCTTTAAAGTGTAAAACAGCTGGTGCCTCCATGTCGGTTATTTTTTAGACATTAGATATAACATATTAATTACTTTGATCGGTAAGCACAAACTTTCACAATTCCACTTCGATTCACAAGATACATGTCTGATATAGCAGAGTTGTTAACCGTTTTCTTTTTATCACCACTTTCAGGATTTTTGATTGATTGCATTATTATTATTATTATTATTATCATCATCATCATCATCATCATCATCATCATCATCATCATCATCATCATCATCATCATCATCATCATCATCATCATCATCATTATTATTATTATTATTATTATCATTATTATCATTATTATTATTATCATTATTATTATCATTATCATTATTAGTATTATTATTATTATTATTATCATTATTATTATTATTATTATCATTATCTTTATCATAAACATTATTATTATTATTACTTTTATTATTGTCAT